TTTATCGAGCCTACTTCATAAATTCGTATTTGAATACGAGAAAGCTGTTAAAATGATACGATAATCATATAGGAGCGCGTCTTAGTGTTAATTTGGTTGTCGCAAAGGTCGATTTACAACATCTTTATATTCAAACATAACGTTTTTAGTAACACATGGTTTCGTTATGTTATCCTTTTCAGATATTATACACGGTAAACTTTTCCAAGATCGTCGTTTCCTGGAAATCGATTATGCCCAAGGTCGAGATGTTCCACCTGGTTACATCTCCAAGATAGCAAAAACTTTAGAGGATTGGGTGCATTCCTGCGAAGCCATTTACAACTGTCTTGACGCGCAAATTCAAATAGCCAATGCGGAGAAGTCAAAGCGTTTAGAAAAAAAGAAAGATATCGAGCAAAAGGTAAGAGAAAAGTCAACATTGGGGAATATTATCTGTACACGTAATCGTAACTCATTGTCATCATTTTAGTAAAAGTAAAGGGATTTTTGTGGAAGATTAATACAACTTTTTTATTTAGCTATTGACGAATGAATGAAATTAATTCAATGAATTTATATTCGCTTCGTAAGATACATATGGCACGATGACTCTAATGAGTTTTTGCTTCTACATCTAGATGAAAGCAAATTCGGAATTTGGTGGGGGGATGACAGATAAACAATAGAGTATAGAGTTTCTTAGAAGTTCTTTCCTCCTCCCTTTTCTTCTGATTGAAGATACTTTAATACGTGCGTATGGTCCCTTAAAAGGTTTTTAATTGTTAATGCTGCCATGGAAGCCCGAAATGGCGGGCGTTTTTCTCGCATTCATTTCCTAAAGTCTAGTTAATATAGAGGTACATTTCTTTACAGGTTCACGTGGTAGAGGTATTTAAAAAAGTTGTGAATAGCAAAAAACCAATTTTATAGAACCTCTTGCAGGTCATAAAAGCTAAAAATTTTCTTGAAATATTTTTCGTTATCCGGTATACCATCGTCTGGTATCTCTTGAAAATATCGGCTTAAGAAAACAGAATGGCGTCAATAGATGTAGGTATAATTTTTTTTCTTTTAAACTTCTGATCTATAAAATCAGTTACAGTTTATCAATCAAAGAAATCCTATACGCTCCACCAACTGTGTTTATCCAATTATTCCTTTCTCCTTATGAGGGAAGGAAGAGTTCTATATAAGAGTTGTATGACAAATTAAACATTAAGAATTTTTTATACAAACATATTCATGTTCTATTACGAAGACTTCATTTTAAAGATACACGTAAATGCTATCGAAGAATGAAAATGTTATACGTTTTATGTCACTTAATCATATTAAGTGCTTGCATGTATTTCGATCATTTTTTCGCTGGGAAGGCATTTGCTGATTCAATCTATATTAATCAAAATATTTCCCATCTGTTTGTATAACTTTTTCCCATCTTTCTGACAGCATGGCGATACCATGTCGAACGAAAGATATTGATTTTGCAGCGACCCATAATCATTGATCCATTTTCGTGCCACGTCATCGTTTCAAAACCGCGTGCTAGCCAAGCCATGCTCCATCGATTTGAACAAGTGGTAGGTAGAAGTCGTCAGCTCTGTTAGGTCTGTCTGCACTGGGGGCGGCAGAACTTGGCATTCGAGGTGCAACAATATATTTTTGACAACTCTTGCAACATATGGCCGAGCTTTGTCATGCAAGAGGATGATTTTTGCTTCAACCGTTATTGCTGGCCTTTTTTGCAACAAAACATCGTTCAATTTGTTCAAATGACGTCTGTAGACATCTGCAGTAACATTCATTCATTCGATTTTATTATCTTGCATAGCATTACGTCTTGCTGTTCCCGCCATATGAACAGCGAAACTTTGTGACTATGAATATTGTGCGTCAGTGTCGATATGGCTGACCCATGACTTCTTGCGCTTCGGATTATTGTAGTAGACCCGCTTTCCTTGGTCAGCCGTGATACTCTTCTTCTTTTGCCTGGCAAGTAATGAAACAGTGATGTTGACATGGTTCGAAGTCAATTCGAACGACAGTCATTTTCCCGTTTTTTGGATCTTGCATCCCATCGCATGTGAACGTGTAGAAACAGTTGATTGATTAACTGCTAAGCTGTTCAAAAGCTTTTTAAGAGTCTTCGAACTTTTTGGGTCCTCCAGGCCGTTCCATGTCATTGCCGTCAAAGTCACCACTTTTAAACCGTTAACATCAAAATCGTCAGTTGGGATGTGAAGAACCAGCATCAGCATAATCTTCTGAAAGTGTTTGACGGGCTTCAACAGAAAATTTCTTCAAATCAAACAACAAATGCAATGAATGCCGGAAATGTAATTTTGAGCGTTCCATGATCATGAGGAAATGTTTCACAATGAGCGCAAAAGGCCTTGAGAACTCAATGTGGTGTGTGATTATACTCATTTTTTCCTTTTAACAAATCAAGCGAGAAACATTGACATCGAGGTTACTTGTTTTTGAAGCGCAAAGGATCTTAAGCTGTCGACACTCTATTCTCCGAGCGCTTGACCATTTAATTTTACGGACAGTAATATTGGCTGCTCTTTCGGAAACATGGAAAAAAATAATAAATTCAGGAAATGTTCGTGAGAACTTTCGCAAATAATTCCGAATTTCATGAGGTTAAACTTTCCCTCACGACATCTCGGTTCACATAAAAAGTTGTTAAAGATATAACTCAAGTTAATAGTTCTT